AAAAAAAAAGGCGGTGAATCCAACACTACTTCCTGACAAGCGGTGGGCTTGCAATCCACCGCCTTGCACGTCAGGAGGCGTCTTTTGAAGATTTCCTCACCCCGGGGGACCCTTCTGGTCCCCAAACAAAAAAAAATTTTTTTTAAATAAAAAATAAATAAAAAAAAGGACTCGTGGACAGGACACTGCCCGAGTCAGTTAGAACAGTTGATTCCACAAGACAAAGAAGTAAAATTTTCAACCATTCCAAAAAAAACGACGGGTTTTATTCAGCCTTTAGATGTGTTTGGATTCCGGATTTGGAAAAATTTCGTACGAACATTTTCTGATAATGTAATTCTTCAAGAGAAAGATGTCACTTTGCATTTGCATAATGAAATAATTAAATTACAATCACTAACCCATAATCAGCTTTCTTCGCCCAGATTCAAAAATCTTTTCCAACACGCTTGGTTTAAAAGCGGCGCAAAAAAAAAACAATTGAACGCTGCAGCCAGAAACGTACGTCCCCACGAGCTCAGTCATAAAGACAACTGAAGAACAAAATTGTACAAATTATGTTGTACATGTTTAGCCTTATACTATATATTTTCGTTAGTGCTGTGTCGTTTAATCGAAATGCTGTGAAGAAAGAACTCCTAAGTTAATACCATAATATACCATAGCCATAATATACCTAAGCTAATACCATAATAAAACGCCCGAAATGTCTTAAACGCAAACATAGATTGTTTACTATTTTTCATACACAAAATAAAAATGCAAAAAGCATACGAAAGTTGTTTTCTGACTTTTTTTAGTTACCTGCAACAGCTATTTCACAAATTTCTAGATATTTTACAAGATTTATTTATTTAAAATAAGAATCAAAGTAATAGAGAAGAAAAATAATTTGTTTTATGGCTGTTTTTTTGTAGCAACGACGAATTAATTAATTGATACGTGGCGATTGTGCAAAATGCTGTATACATAAAGTTTCAAATTTCTCTTTAATGTATGTCAAACATTTCTCGTAAATCTTTATACGTCAGCTATTTTTCAATACATTCTGTAAAAATCATGTAAGAAAAAAATATTGCATTGCATTGCATTGTTCAAACATTGCACTGCATTGTTTAAACAAGAATATACTTAAAATTAATAATTTGTTACACTTTTACGAAATTAGATGCTCTCACACTCTGGCACCATAGAAGACAATATACATAATAAATGCATCATCATCGCGACGAATAATAAAACATTACAGCATACTAAATCACTTTTAATTACGTGATTCAATAAGAATAAAAAATAAATCCTAAATAATATAAACTTATTCTGGAAATTATAGACTGTACATGTTCTTTCGCCACGCTCTTATCTATCATATAATTTAAATATAAAAATATCTTAATAACTAAAAATTATGAAAATACTGTTTCTATAAAAGTAAAATATAGATTTTTTTATAGATAAAATTAAAACTTTAAAAAATAAATAAAATGTATTTGAACAAGAGATGTGTATTTATTTATCTATGGTTGTGTGCAGTCGTTACTGCTATTGGCCGTTGATTGCTAATCACTTAATAAATTGTAAGCTTAATGATATGAAAATAATCCATTCACATTATACGAACGATGGAAAATATAATTCTTTTTTCATAATTATCAAATTTTGAAGAAATATATAATGAAAAATAGAATAAAAAATATAATAAAAAAGGAAGCATTGCTATTATACATCTTTTGAGTTTTGAAAATTAAACTCTCTTTATAAAATTTTTTTTTCCATTAATTAAATCGATATTTAAATTGAATTATATCATTATGTTGTAAAGTGAGAACAATGCACAAATCGAGATTTATTTATAAGAATTATCTTAAAATTGCAAATGCATAATTGGTAATTGATAAATACGTACATCTGATGTGTTCTAATGCAAAGATATTGATTTTGCAAATTTATTCCTAGTTATTATCATTAAAAATAAATTGGATAATAAAATAATAATCATAATAATCTTATGATTATTATTTTAAATATAGCTAAATAGGAAGGAATATAAAAAATATATATTACCCTTGTATTTAAAATTAAAATATGAAAAACAATTATTAAAATATACTTGCGATTTTATAAAAACCGCAAGATAATGACTATATTCTTAGATATAAATATGGTAGATAAAGTGAATAGAATATCGAAAAAATTTTGCTCATAAAAGTATTATAAGCAATCCAAAACAAAAGGCTAGAGAGGAGAAGAAATAAAAAACATAAAAAAATTTAACAAAAAACATATAAAGATGCCAATATCTATTAAAATTATTAACATAAAATTCTATTTCATGTTTAAATGTCAATCACATTTGAAATTTTTGGTAGAAACAACGGAAGACGACTAGAAGTTCTAAAATATCAAAAGAAACTGAGGCGAAAAAATTTAAGGACTCATGTAAAAGAAAAGACTTCGATAGAGCATAATAGAATAATGTCTGTAACTATTAAACTTCGAATAATATAAGCAAATTTGGCTCCACACATCAAATTATCCACAATTATACTTTTTTAATCAGACTTTGAGATAAAGTTCGGAAATCAGACAATGCTGCAAGATGGAACTTTTCAAAAAAACTCTCTTCTGCTGCCCTAGTGCTTATCAATGCTAGGTATATCTCGATACTGTATGCATCGATATGATTTTTTAATAAAATCAAGAATAACTTATGCGCTCTTAATACACTAGACACTAAACAAAATTTGCAAATCTTTTTTCATCATACGCAAAAATATATATCTGATTTACGCTTATAATATACACAGCTAAAATTCATATAGGTACGCTTAAATATATGCTTGCGCCCCGTCGACATGAAGTTTTGCCAGAGAGACGCGATCAGAATCTTTATACTTTCTAAAAATCTTATCACTTATTCTTCACGCAAAGTCCATAGTACAAAAATAAGAATAGTATTTCACTATTTTTAGACACGAGACAAGACAACTTTTGTTCTTTACGCATGCTGCTTTTTATTCTTTATTTTGTAATCATATTAAAAAAAAATATATATATATATATATATATATAATTAAATTTACTAAACGCACAACTATATGCTAAAACTATGCATACAAAAAGAAATAAGAATTTAAAAAATATTCAAGATACAAAAAAATTGATTCAAATATAGTTTCTTTTCATCGTAAACAACAAAAGTGTCGTAAAGAATTCAAGTGTCTACATTTTCAGCGACAGAACCCATATACGATTTTTAGTTCACTCTAAAAATCTTTCTATAGAATGCAACAAGACTTCTATATAATATATTAGATGCATCTATAATAATCAAATTTAACTTTTGAAATTAATTTGATTTTATTTGATTTGAAATTGATTGAAGTTTAATTTTTATTTATTAATAACGAATAAATATACAAGATTTCTCATTATTTATTATTTATTATTTTCTCATTATTTATTATTTTATAATAAATCGATTTTGGTTTACAATCTCATATATGTTCACAATTAAATATATTATATAGAAGCATGTTTTCGACTTGAAATCATTATTACTTTTATCTTTCATATCAATCGACAATTCACACATACACTAAAGCAATCAAAATCTGACTTCAACAGATTATTTGTCTTTTGCATAGTGTAACATAGTGATTTTTCCGTATTTAAAGAATCAAATATAACAAAACTTACGTTCTTGCGATACTTCTTTGCTGTTGTCCTTAATGTGTAGAAAGCTGAAATCTATGTATGCGCATGTGTGATCTTGAATCAACCCTTCCATGTACCGATATAATTTTTACAATTCGGACAAAAATGATGAACGCTCATGAAGGCGCTCATACAGTACGGCAGGCATGAACAGAGGCAGCATCTGAAATCAGGAAATCAAGAAATCAAGTAAACAAGCTAATGCTGTGTTTTATAAATATAGATTTTTCACTTTACAATACGCAATTGTATTTCTAAGAAATTATATAAGTAAATGACTACCTATCAACTTGAGAATAATGATTTATATCTTAATTTATAGTCGATAAAAGCATTCAAAAATAAATTTAAATTTACAAACTACAAATGTAACTAAATATTAACAGAAAACATAGGAATACATAAATAACTAAACATTTTAATCCAAATCAGAAGAAAAGTATCTCATCAGATAATTAATATTACGCAATAACATACACAAGATATGTAAATTAGTAATAAAAGAGCTTATCATTTCAAAGAAAAAAATTTATCATTTACCCGAGTAAGCAAAGCACGATACAGCAAACATGAGCACTAGGCTGATGATCCGATATCGTAGTAGTTTTGATATCGGCATGACATGTTGGACAGGCCATTTTCACTGGATTTGGTGCTAGAGCGTACGTTAAATGATGATGAATGACCCGTACTTCCGGCCGCGATACAGAAGACATGGAATTCGACTCAACATTAAAATGAGGCTGAGACGTTGATTGACTTGACGCAGATGGTGCTGGCATTGTAATTTGATTTGGTGGCTGATTATCTGAAATTACACGTATAATTTGCATTACTTTTTTTTTATCAGATTATTATTAAAAACCTAATTAATAATTACATAATAATTATATGTATTAATTAATAATTACATAATAATTAATTAATAATTATTAATTAATAGTTAATAATTACCAAAATTTTATAATAAATATTCTAGTGACTAATATTAAATTGATTGTATAGTTTAACATTTTAGACTGTTTCGTTCTTTAACACATAAGATTTCAATGCATCGCAGTAAAGAAGATGCATAGTCAAAAATTCTAATCTATCAAATGTTATAAAATAAGGTTCTATTCATTTTATTCATTTTTATGCTTTAGAACAGTGCTGTCAGCTATTTGCAACTTTCGGCCGGATTTCTCGATGCACGGCCTACTGCTCCCCCTCCTACTGCTCGCGCGTTGTCAACGCGCTGCGTTGTCAACGCGTTGTCAACGCGCGAGCAGTAGGAGGGGGAGCAGTAGGCCGTGCATCGAGAAATCCGGCCGAAAGTTGCAAATAGCTGACAGCACTGCTTTAGAATCTTATATCATATCGTATAATATATGATTTTAAGGCTATTCTAAAATTGATTAAAATGATTTTAATATTCTAGATCATTTCTTTGTTTAAAATATAAGATTTCAATACATCGCAAGAGACAATGTACATTCTAAAATTTTTTAACCCATAAAATGTTATGATATAAGATTCTAAAGAATAAAAATAAATAAAATAAAATATGTACATATGTACATTTTATCATTAATATATATTTTATTAATTTTTATGCTTTAGAATCATATATCATAACATTTGACAGATTTAGCATTTCAGAATTCATATTTTCTTTATTGCAATACTTTAGAAACTTACATCTTAAACAAAAAAGTAATCTAGAATTGTTAAATGTACATTTTATTCATTTTTGGACACTGGAATTTTACACTATAAAATTTGGTAGACCTAGATTTTAGAATTCGCATTTTTTTTACTGCAACGCATTAAAATCTTATTTTAAACAAAGAAATGCTCTAGAATATTAATGAATTATTGCACGTGTAGTGCACACAATGATATGTTCCAGTTTATATAAAAAAATTAGTAAATAATATTGACAACTAATCTAAATTTGTAAACGTAAAAATGTTTTCTCAACTTTATCACATAACTTGGAAAAAATAAGGTTTGCTTCAATTAATTTATTGTGAAATATGTGTGTGTGCGTGTTTACTTTGCATATTAAAATATGTACGTACATGGCATTGGCATTGCCATTGGTACTGGCGTGATTCCCAGGGGATACGGTGCAGAACCAACTGGAGGATTCATAGGTACTCCTGTATTAGCTATGGCTTCCTCATAAGACGGCGGAGCCGTTGGTAAAAGATTCGATGGCTGTGCATTAGCTGCACTAAAACCTACGTTCTTTTCCATTTTTCCTAAAAAAGAAAACAAAGTTTTACTAAATGATAATATTACATTTAAACATTAATCGTTCAAATGCTGAGGACCATTACAAAAAGTGTCAAGCAGCGCGATTGTGCTTCTATTTCATGTCGAAAAATGCCAACAAATGTTATCGCACTTCATTTTTTTGTCTCATTATTCATTAATATTTGATAATTCTTATAACCAATTTTATTTCTTGAGAATCAGTGAATCTATCTGCGAAATTTATGGCGCTTATATTTTTCGATATAAAACAAGAGAAGCGCGATCAACTTTTTGACATTCGACAATTAATATATACCAGTGCTGTCAGCTATTTGCAACTTTCGGCCGGATTTCTCGATGCACGCCTACTGCTCCCCCTCCTACTGCTCGCGCGTTGACAACGCGCCGCCGGACACTCGTAACTAAGGAGCTTACGCTTTGTCTCAGGACCAGTGATGCGATCTTTCCCACAGCGGTCCCGGCTCGGCTGTCTCACACATCGAGAAATCCGGCCGAAAGTTGCAAATAGCTGACAGCGCTGATATATACATTGTAAATTTGCATATTTGCAAAGTTATTACTTTTCTCTAAATTCGGTTTTAACATTTAAAATAATTTGTACATTTTTCGTAAGTATTGCATTTAAATATAATATAATATAAATGCTGATTTTTTTCCCTTTGAGCACGCTTGCAAGTAATATTTATAATGGACGAACGGCATGCCTCTGTGCTCGCGTGCGAATAGAAAGTTGAGCGGATGTTAAGTAACAGAGATACGATGTATATTTTCCAACAAAGTCATAAGCAGAAAGCTTAAAACCTCGAGCAAAACAAATTTTTGAACCTTAATAAAAAAAATTTGGAGAAAAATAAAATTTTGAAAACAATTTATTTTAAAAGAAATTATTTAAAAATATTAATTTTTTTAATCATTTAACTAAATAAAATGCATTATATTTTAATTATTTAATTATTGAAATAATATTTTTATGTTACACAGTCGGAAATACAGCATCTCCAATGCGTCGGCTACAGTAACAAAAACAAACATTCTCTGAATTCGCTGAAGTCCTATCTATCATCTTATTCTCTGAATTAATCATTGCACATCGTACGACGAATATCTAATCGTAAACATGTACCTCTAGCAAATTGCTTACACATTATAAAATAGAAAATTACATTCGCTAATATTAGATACAAAACCGGATTAAAACATAAATTGAGAAAACAAGTTCTATAAAATCATGTGTTTTAAATTGATAGTAAATACAATTGTATAAAGCAGAACATATATAAAGTTGTAAAACTTACTATATATAGATTTTCTTTCACTGATATATATCTCTATTCTATTTTTTCCAGAACTTCTATGATTCTCACAATCTATTTTAAGCAAATAACAATTAATAATATATTTATTTATTAAATTATATGAATAAAAGTAAAACTAACACTTTATGCTTTTAAAATAAAGCTGCGAAATAAAAGCATATCGTTTAATTTGTACAAGTAACCTTGGATTTTTATCAAAGTAGTAGCTTGATATTTTACATGCATTAAAGTATATGTTATTCGTTATTACATCATATATTTATAGAAGAATGCTTCAACTTATTCCATTTTTTAAAGGTGCGGCTTTATATATACAATTGAGTTTTACACAAGCCAAATAATGTTCTAAAGAGTAACTTCAAATCCTCATTTTTTATTATACAGATAAAAAATCTGCTACTAATCACATTTTGCTATTAATGAGCCACTTCAGCATACAGCAAGGTATGTTTTTTATATAACACATAAATTTGTTATAAAACTTACTGTATATAGATTTTCTTTCACTGATATATATCTCTATATAACAGTTCTGTAAAGCATATTTAATAAACAAATTATTGAAATATAACAAATTAATTTGGTATAACTTGATTTTTGTCATGCAAAAAGACCATATATCATTATTCAATTTCATAATAAAAATGATAAGAGATAAAAATAAACTATATGCATATATGTGTATATGATAATGGCAATTCGTCATTTTAATAATTCTCCCAAAATTTTTGTCAAAATTATCAATTAAGTTAAATGTTTTCTTCATAAAATTCTATACAATTATTAGATTATAAAAAAACAAATATATGTATGTGCATATACATAAATACGCAAGGTATGTCCATAAAAAAATGGTATCGTCCATTTAATAGATGACTTGGCCAAACAAGGTTAACCTTCACATTTCGTTGCCAAATAGAATAAGTATTTACAAGCGCATAAAGTAGCTCTTTATAAGTGATATTACGTATACATTCAGCACATAATATTTTTGAAAAATTCATATGAAATAGGATTCGCACATGATTAATATATGCAAATATTTGATAAATGTTAAATTGTGAACAAGATGGATAAGACAAAAGATTCCATCGCAATGCTCATCAACGTTGGCAAAAAAAGTAGAAATAATGGAAAAACGTACTCACCGTGTCTATGCGAGCGTCAAGAATTAAGCAATAAGCCACGTTATCATCGGCAGATCAGATTATTTCTGGGTTCGACGTTAAATACAACAACGAGCCGTGCAATTTGTGCAACACTCAGCACGTCTCAGCACGACGCGTTATGTGAAACTGCAAACCTGTCGACTGCCGCCTCGTGACGTGATCTCATACGCGAATAATCGCGTCCCGGAAATCAGACAAAAAGAAAACGAAAGGAAAACGCGCGACGTGAAATACAAATAAAAAGAACTTAACGTCGTCACGACAAAAATGAAGTCTGATCCAGTGTTGCTCCGAATTGTGAACAGTTTGTGAAATGGAAGGATGAATTTTGCACGCAGGCGCTAAACCTAGCTGAATCTCAGTCGCGTATATACTTTATCGTAATAAGTGATGTTACATTTCTCGAAGAAATATATAATATTAAAAAGATAATTATTATTTATATACAATTATTAATGTGAAAATTTCTGCTAATTAAATTAAAAACATCAATTATCAAGTTAAGTAATTTGGTAGCTAAGTTATTACGTGAATACCAGCACCTTTTGACAATAAATTTATCCATTTGAGTCTTTGAATACAGCAAAATTTTCTTATCTGTAATATTAATTCGATGTGTTTAATGTAGCGTTTAATATATTTTCTATGTTATTGGTATAAATGTTGTAAGAAAAAATATACGGGCTCCAAGGAGCGTTTTATATAAAATCTAAATACGACTCTGTCGTTAGATCACGCGGTTTATGACGTAATTAAACATACCTTTACACATGCGTATCACGAAAAATTTATATAATGCGTTTCAATTACCAATTTTTCTTTCAATTGTCACATATAAATACATATTATATATATATATATATAACAAAAACTTTATTTTTCATGGATATCGCTAAATTAATACATTATTAAACATTCTGTATTTTCAGTCTCCTTGTTTCTATTTTCTGTGCTTTCTGTTCTGATATTTGTAATGGTGACGATATTAAACCCATTAAAATACAATCAGCTTCTAAAAGAGTTATATCTGTTGTAGCACCTAAAAATCTAGAAGAAAGTTCCAAATCCCTTATCTTTAGCCGAACCTTGGATCCTCTCACATAGTACCTAAAATAAAAAAGTAATGAAAGGATAATATTCAATAATAATCAAAGATATAACAAATATTATTCAAACAAATGAAAAATTAATCTAGACACATACTGTCCGTTTTTTATAGGTTTTCGACAAACACAATAAAACTTCCATCCAAAATCAATGTACAAGTCATCATCAACAATATTAAATATTTCACCAGTTACTAGTTTTCCTTCTGGTTCTCCCAACTAAAAGATGAATTAGTATCACATGTTTGGAACATACACGATGAATAAATATTATATATACAGTAAACAGGAAATATTTACATCAACAAATTTGGAGTTGCGTATTAAGGAAGCGAACGTTTGAGGTATTTCTGGTGTTTTATCGTCAATATGCGAGAATCTTTCGTAACTTTGCGCAAAACCACTCAATTTTGCATTAGATCCTGATATTTCTGCATTTTCTTTCGCTTCTGCTTGTATTTCTTTTCCAACAACAGACTCTGCAGATGCTGTATCTTTAGTTTCCCCTTCCAAATCTTTGCTTGTACAAAAATATCTTGTAGATATCGAATTTGCTCTCAAAACATTGAGAGATCGCAAATCTGTTAACACTTTCTTGAGACGATGTATTTTATTCATGATAGCAATAAAAACTTTATTTCTTGTTGCCACACAGTTTCTACTCTTGACGGCTTTTAGGTTATAACCACGAGTTGAGGTTGAGGTTATGTAAAATTTACATAGAAATTATTGATGTATCCATAACTTGTCGTTGTATAGAAGAGAGCTGTCATAATCAGAAGCTGATTTTAGTTAAAATCATTTGAAGTGGTAACTTTTACTTTAAGATAAGCATGCTTAAAAATATTTAAAGAAAAAATAAATTTGACTTATCATTGTATATAAAACTATTTCTTTTCCTAAATTAAGGTTAAGTTACATTATATTACATTAAATAGCTTATGACATTTATATTACATTTCAGATTGTTTTGGAAAAAAGTCTTGCAGAGTGGCATCTTGGAACTGAAGCATTACAAAGATGTTATCACCTGCACTATTAAATATTTTAAGCAGGGGCATTTCTACAACAGCTCCTGCAAGTAGAATAATCAAACTAAGTCGATTAAGAGTAGTGGATAATAGCGAAATAGGAAGGCTAGCTATGATGGAGGGTAAACCACCAAGATGCATACACGTCTATAATAAAGTTGGAGTTGGATATATTGGTAAGATGAAAGATAAGAGATATAATGCAACTTCTTTATAAGAACATGTGTTTGAATTGTTATATTTATTTTTTAGGAGATAGAGTTTTAGTCGCAATAAGAGGTGAGAAAAAGAAAGGTATATTAGTTGGATTAAAAGAAAATCAGGTTCCCAAAATTCCCAAGTTTGATAGCAACAATTTAGTGCTAATAGATGATAATGGGACACCTTTAGGTACAAGAATACAAGTACCTATTCCACACATACTTAGAACAAAAATGAAGGAGAAAACCCACACGAAAGGAGCAGATTATACTAAACTATTAGCAATTGCATCTCGATTTGTGTAATGTATTTTGTTTACTATTACAATGTAAATGTATCGTATAATTCAATAAAATGTTAATATTATAATTATCTACTGAAAGATATTTGTACTAAAAATGTATAATGAATAGTACAAAATGCAGATTTGAATTGTACAATTATTAAGAATCCCTGCACTATCTACCGCCAATATGCAATGTTATTTCACTAAAATACAACCGATGGTCATTGCGCAATGTGACGTACTAAAGCCTGCATCAGACTACGCATTGAAGATTAAAGATTGAGATTTGACCAATCAAAACAAAAGGAGTTAAAAGTTTTTTGTCCTGATAGGTCAAATTTCAGTCTTTAATGTGTATGTGATATGGGCATAAGGCGCTCGCTTTACACAATCGCTGACAATCAAGTGCACAATTTCCTCTCTATATGTTATGTTACCATGCCCATATTTTTGACAGTGAGCCAGTGTTGCGATATGGGACCGGTTGTATGCGCATGTGCGGCTCTGCGCATGTGCGGTGATGGAGATCCAGTGCCGTTATATGTTATGTGTTGACTGTATGGCGGGACGTTTTGACATGAGAAGGTCTGGTGACTACAAATAAGGTAAGATTTATTTATTTACAAGCATGGAATCTACGGAGCCAGCAGCTAAAAACCAAGAAG